TGGAGGTCTCCGATTGGCTGTGGATCGGCCCGCCCCCATCACCTGGAATCCTTGGCTGTCCCGGGAGGGGGAGACTTGCTCACCTATCCCCCCTCCCCCATCCCAGCTGACCTTTGAACCTTGCGCCCGCTGGCGTGCTCACTGCCTTCTCTCTTTTGGTTGGGCTGCTGGTCCTCGCAGGAGAACCTAGGCACGGTTAGAAGGCTGATAACGTGCTCCTGGGTGAGTGATGCAGCCGGCAGGGGCTTGTAGCTAGTCCTGGGCCTTTCATGCTGCCCTTCTGTATGACACTCCCCGTTAGTATGGAGCCAGTGGCAAGCAGCCCAGGGCTTGCTGTGAATTTCTGTGACTCCTATAATAGCTGGTAACGCATCGTGCAGCGCCCTGGACAGGCAGGTAGCAGGAGAAACCCTCGCCAGGTTACCATCTGGGGGTACGTCTACCGGAGGTATCCTGAAATAGCTACTCAACGGCTACGTCTACAATGGCATGATTTTCCGAAAATGCTTTTTTCGGAAAATCACGTCTAGATTGGCAGGATGCTTTTCCGGAAAAGCACTTTTTCCGGAAAAGCATCCGTGGCCAATCTAGACGCGCTTTTCTGCAAAAAAGCCCCGATCGCCATTTTCGCGATCGGGGCTTTTTTGCGGAAGACAAATCTCTGCTGTCTACACTGGCCCTTTTGCACAAAAGTTTTTCGGAAAAAGACTTTTCCCGAACGGGAGCAGCACAGTATTTCCGGAAAAGCACTGATGATTTTACATGAGATCGTCAGTGCTTTTCCGGAAATTCAAGCAGCCAGTGTAGACAGCTGGCAAGTTTTTCCGCAAAATCATCTGATTTTGCGGAAAAACTTGCCAGTCTAGACACAGCCCACATCTTTTAAACATATATTTTTCAAAATAACGGGTGTGATCTTCTGGCATCCCTGCAACCCTCGTTCCACGAGGATTAAGGGATGTCTCGAAATAGCACGTTATTTCAAAATGTGGTGCTGTGCAGACACGCCAGAGTTCGCAGCAAGCGATTTCGAAATACAATCGAAATAAGAGATGCAATCGGCGTGGCGCCAGTTGCGTCTCTTATTTCGAGTTTAGGGTGCTGTGTAGGCACACGCTGGATGGCCAGAGGGTGGGAGGGTAAACTGAGACACGGAGGCAGGAAGCAGTTCACCCAAGTCTACACAGCGTTTCAAGGGTGGAGCCGAGAGGAGGGTAGAAGCTGCTGAGGTTTGAATACACTGCGGCTGAGTGTGAACCACTCACCAGGGATCAGCCCTGCATGAGCTGCTACAGCCTGAGCTAAAGAGCTGAGGGCTTCCACCGCTGCCGTGGCCTGAGACCAGCCAGGGACCTGGAACACATGCTCCAAGGGGTTACTCAGGAGCACCTGAGCTGCGAAGCCGACGGTGGAACTGGCCGCCGGCTCCTGATCCATTCCAGCTGGGCCCTACGGGTGCTTGCCCTACGTTTGGGCAGAAGGTGCATTGAGGGCAGGAGCGGGGGATTGGGAAATGGCACCTCCAGGAGACCCTGTGCTCAGGGCCCTGTGTGAGAGCATTAAAGTCCCGGGACCTTGTCTACACTCCAGTTCTTGCCCCATGCCCGGCTGTCAGCTCAGCTGCGCGCTGTCTGTGGCCCAGCTGTGTTAACTGGTCAGCAAACATTTTCCAGTTGGGAACCAGAAAGGAAGTGCGAAAAGTGCTTTCTTTTCCCACTCCCTCGATTGTCGAACTTTTTCCACTTGGGGGGAGGGCTGTGGGGGAGACCGTTTTAAAAAGGGAAGGGGCACGAGGCCTCACAAGTCAACGGAAAACGTTCATGTCTTGCCTTCCAAACACCCAAACAAAGTGACACTGGCTCGGGTTTCGAAACAATTATTTTGATTCTCCTGCTTGAGACTTGAATCAAAGCTGCCATTGTCCCTGCTTGAGAAGTTTGTGCTACACGCATCTGCCAGGAAAATATTTTTGGTCAAAAAAGTCCACGAGCATGTGTGAAACCATTCAGCAGGCAGGAAGGAGACCCGAGGCTTGGGCGTGAGCGTGACCGTGGTGGAATCCTGGGGGGCGGGGGGCCTTAAAATAGCAGCCTCGCAGCAACCAGCTCTGACAGGGTTACAGTGGAACCCCATGCAGAGCACCAGCCTGAGCGTGGGGACAACCTGCCATGGGCAACGTAGCCGAGAAGCCTGGGAACGGTGCAGAAAACGTGAGCCAAGACTTGGAACAACCCAGGCTGCAGAGAGACAAAACCCAGTGAACTTAACTGCTCAGCTGCCGCTGCAGCACCAGTGAAACGGCTTGGGAGCTGAATGGGGCACTAGCCCACTAGGGCGTGTGGGGGGAGGTGACTGCTCCCCGAGGTGGGCAGTGGGGCTTGTGCTGACGGGTTCTGAGGGGGGCTCCGTCCTGTGTTAGCCACAGCCGGGTGTGAGCTGGACCGTCTAGTCCCTTTACAGTCCCTGGTGTTGCCATGCAAGGGAAGAAGCACGCAGGGGCTGTCGCCGTGCTGGCTCTGAGACAGGTTGTGAGAAATCCGAGGAGGAGGAAATACCTGTGGCTAGGGATGGTTTGGGCTTGGCCTGGAGCAGAAGCCTGGAGGGGTGTGCGTGTGTGTGAGAGAAGAGCCCTGACCCGCCTGTGTGTCAAAGGATGGGCTGCTTAGGTCTGGCAGTGGGGCCAGGACCCTCCCAGCCCTGAGAGCTGACTGGGTCAGAGCCTGGCTCTCAGGGGGGCGGCCCTCAGCGGCAACTCAGACAGCGGGGGTGCTGGGTCTGAGTGAGGGGGATCCCAAGGTGGAGTAAATCAGCCCTCAGGGGGGCCTGTGTGGCCCCTAGACCAGTGTGGCCCCTGGCTGCACTGACCCTCCTCTCCCTTGTGTAGGCTCAGGTAGCGGAGCTGGAGCAGACCCAGTCCCAGAGCCGAGCTGCAGCTGGAGATTGAGCGGCTGCGCGGCTCCCAGATTCAGGCAGAGCGCACGCTGGAGGCCAGGGAGAGAGCCCACAGGCAGCGCGTGAAAGGGCTGGAGGAGCAGGTGAGCTTTGCTGCTGCTGTTGCATGACTGGGGCAGCCCTGGGCTCTGCTCCCTGTGAGGGACTCAAGCTGGAAACTGCAAACGCCTCACAAGCAGGGACCCCGGTGGGAGAGGCTGGGATTGGTGCAGCTGGGCCATATAGCTAGTGACTACAGCGACCCCTGCTGGGAGAGGCTGGGATTGGCGCTGCTGGGCCATACAACCATTGACCCTATGGTGACCCCTGCTGGGAGAGGCTGGGATTGGCGCTGCTGGGCCATACAACCATTGACCCTATGGTGACCCCTGCTGGGAGAGGCTGGGATTGGCACAGCCTTGAGCTCCCATTTAGCCTGTGGCTCTATAGTGACCCCTGCTGGGAGAGGCAGGGATTGGCACCGCAGTGCCATATAGCTGGTGACCCTACAGCGACTCCTGCTGGGAGAGGCTGCGATTGGTGCAGCTGTGCCATATAGCTAGTGACTACAGTGACCCCTACTGGGAGAGGCTGGAACTGGCACAGCCTTGAGCTCCCACTTAGCCCATGACCCTATGGTGACCCCTGCTGGAATTGGCACTGCTGTGCCATATAGCTGGTGACCCTACAGCGACTCCTGCTGGGAGAGACTGGGACTGGTGCAGCTGTGCGCTCCCATTTAGCCCGTGACCCAACAGGGACTGACGCAGCTGTAAGTGGTTCCTGATGGGCAAGGCTGGGCCCTTCCCCTACAGCTAAAGTATATCCCCCCAGATCCCTGCTGGGCAGAGGTGGCTGTGTCATACACTCCCCTTCATCTCCCGGCCTTCTGGGAAATACCCCCAAAACACTGCAGCACCATCTGGCCTTGGTGCAGCTCCGGGGACCCCTGCGTGCCCTACATGCTGACTGAGGCCCCTTTTTCAATCCTCTCCTTCACAGATCTTGACACTGAAGGAGCAGCTGCAGCAAGAGCTGCGGAAGTACCAGCCCCATTACTCCCACTCCTCCCTCCTCTCGGGGAACTAGGCTCCATGCCGCTCTCTACTGACACTGTGACCAAGGAGCCCTCGGTGCTAAGCGTCCTTCTGCTTCATGCTCTAGCTCTCCAGTGGGGTTTGTCTAGAGGGGGATACCTCCTCCCGCGCCTCGTGGCCTGTGGATCCCTTGGGCGCGCAGTCCTTTACCGGAGACAAGCACACGCCCGCGTTTCCCTGAGCGTGCTTTGAGTCAGAGCCTCAAAGAGTTGAAATGGTGGTTCTCAGACCTGCTAATTTGCCTTTCCCGCTAGTCTAGCATCACCGAGTCGCTCCACATGAACACTATTTGGGGGCCAGAGACAGCGGTCAGCCTAGGTCTGATTTTCAGCAGTGCTGAGTACCCGCAGCTCCAAGTACAATGAGTCAGGCCATGTGCCAAGAAACCACTTTCCGTCCTTTTATAGCCCCTTTCCAATGGCAGGCGACTCATTACACTGGGTAGCAGCCCCCTTCATTTTTGTTGTCCCTCTATTTCACCATTCCTAAGGGTGTGTCTGCACTGCACCCAGAGTGCAAAACGAGCTACGCAATTTGAGCTACACAAATTGTGTAGCGTATTCCGAGTTCATTTCAAAAGAGCTTATTTTGAAATTTGGCACTGTCTTCACAGCCCTTATTTTGAAATAAATCGCTCATCTGAAACGTCCCTTACTCCTCGTGGAACGAGGTTTACCGGGATGTCGGAATAGCGAGCCTGTTGTATTTCGAAATAATGGGCGTGCTCAAAAGCCACATAGTAGCTATTTTAGGAGACCGCCAGGCTCCCGAAATAGCACTGCAGTGTAGCCGTAGCCTAGAAGTCCCCTATAAGCAAACATTTTTTGGGGGGGGTAACGGGGACCAAAAAAATCTACACTCAAACTGAAGTTGGTCCTGCAAAACCAGCATTTAACTTCTCAGCATTCCATTTTTAAAAACCAGCACTTTGCAAAGGGTACAGCACTAATGAAGGAGAATGTATATTTGATACGTGTCATTTTCTACTGCAGTTTTTTACCAGAGGTTTGGAAACTTTTCAGTATTTTGTTCTAAATATTAGTATGAAGCCTGGTTTCCCGGCTTGGGTTCATCCAATATGGTGTTGCTCAGAAGACTCATAACCCTCTGTATAAAAGATTTTGCTAAGGAGGAAAGATTTTTGTTTTTTGTTTTTTTTTAAAATGATCAATGGCAGCATTTCAGTCAGCTGCTCTGCTCTCCACTGGCCTTCCCAGTGTGTTTCCCTTTGGACAGAGATGGATCAGCTTCACAGAATGATGGTCGAAGCAGCTGTTGCTCTTGAATGTTTTCTCCTCCTTTCCGGTGCGCTATAGCCGGCAACCTCATGCGTGACATAAGCTTGTTGTCAGACAATGTATCCATAGTGTTGCTGTGTGTCCAGTACCATTTCAGGCCTCTGCAGCCTACCCACACCCAGGCTACGTCTAGACTGGCCCCTTCTCCGGAAGAGGTATGCAAAGCAGGCAAGTCAGAATAGGGATTCCGGCTTGGGGAAAAGCCGGAAAAGAGCATCTAGACTGGCGCGATCCTCCGGAATAAAGCCCTTTTCCGGAGGATCTCTTATTCCTACTTGCAAGTTGATCATTAGTCTCTGTTGGAGTCAGCTGCCGCCTATCAGCCTTAGTATCTCGTTAAAGAGCTGCCTGATAGAGCGCTAATTCTGAAACATTTTAACTTAGTGCAAGTAACAGCAAGCTCATGAGAATTTTATTTTTTCTCTAAGTTGTGCATTTGACAGCACTGCGTGTCTAGTCAGTTTCACTGTATCCCTTGGGTGGGGGTGTGTGCGGGGTGGGATCTTTTACAAGCATAAAGCATGACTGTTCCTCCCTGGCTCCAAGGCATGAAGTTTATGTCTACATCTGACGAAGTGGGTCTTTGCCCACGAAAGCTTATGCTCCTACACTTCAGTTAGTCTATAAGGTGCCACAGGACTCCTCGTCGCTTTTGCAGATTCAGACTAACACGGCTACCCCTCTGATACATGTCTACACTGCATTCCTCTTTCGAGAGAGGAATGCAAATGCAGCCAAGCGAAATTGCAAATGAAGCGTGGATTTGAATTTCCCATGCTTCATTTGCATAATGGCATCCAGGCGCTTTTTTGAAACACCCTATTTTGAAAGAAAAAATGCAGTCTAGACGGGGTTATTCTGAAAAAAACCCTTCTTTCGAAATAACCCTTAAACCTCATTTTTTTTAAGGCGTAAGGGTTATTTCAAAAGACGAGGGTTTTTTTCCCGAAATAACCCCATCTAGACTGCGTTTTTTTCTTTTGAAATATGTTTTTTCGAAAAAGCACTTCATTATGCAAACGAAGCGTGGAAATTCAAATGCGCGCTTCATTTGCAATTTCATTTGGCTGCATTTGCATTCCTCTCTTGAAAGAGGACTGCAGTGTAGACACAACCAGGGGCAGCTTCACTCCATTTTTGGAAATTGATCCAATGCCACGTTGTGCCAGACCCACATCCTCCTCCAGTGGCCCTCCCATGGGGCGGGGCTATGTCTACACTGTAGGCTTCTTGCGCAAGAACGTTTTGCGGACGAGATTATTCCTTGTAGAAAGAGGAATCACTTGCACAAAGAGCCCTGTTGTCTGATGATCTACTTTACTTTTTCTTGCACAAAAGTGTGCTTGTAGTGTGGACCCTCCAGAAGTTTTTGCGCCAAAACGGCCATCTTTGTGCATAAACTCTGCAGTGTAGATGTAGCCTTGGTAGCTGAGCAGAACTGGCTAGGCTATGTACTCTAGCATCTATTTAGATTTTTCTCTTGCTCTAGTGGCTGGGCCAGTTGTGTGTCAAGCAAGACAATTGGCTGTAGAAGGTCAGCTGTAAAACTAGAGCAGAAGATGGAAATGCACCTAGTGCAGGTGGCATTTGCTGGGAACTTTTATCTAATCACCATTGTCCTGGCTTTCTTGGTAAGGTGACTAGAAAGGCACCCAGAGGGCTGGGAAGAAACTCGGCATCAGGCAACATCTTAGCCTCCAGCACTGGTGTAACGTAGCCTCCACAAGCTCAGTGTTCTGTCCCACGGTAGGCTGCAGTGGGGAAGGAGGACTCCAAATTAACTCCATGGAGGCAGCGCAGGGCTGACGTGATCCTGGCTCCAGATATGTCTACACTGGCATGATTTTCCAGAAATGCTTTTAACAGAAAAGTTTTCAGTTAAAAGCATTTTTGGAAAAGCGCATCTAGAGTGGCAGGATGCTTTTCCAGAAAAGCACTTTTTGCGGAAAAGCGTCAGTGGCCAATGTAGACGCGCTTTTCCGGAAAAAAGCCCCGATCGTCATTTTCGCGATCGGGGCTTTTTTGCGGAAAAGACTACTGTGCTGTCTACACTGGCCCTTTTCTGGAACAGTTTTCCGGAAAAAGGAATTTTGCCCAAGCGGGACCAGCATAGTTTTTCCGGAAAAGCAGCTGATTTCTTACAGTAAATCGTCACTGCTTTTCCGGAAATTCAAGGGGCCAGTGTAGACAGCTCGCAGCTTATTCCGGAAAAGCGGCTGCTTTTCCGGAATAAGTGGCCCAGTGTAGACACAGCCAATCCAGTCTACTTAGCCTGTGCAAAGCTCTAGGCCTGAGCCCAGCGGCTGAGTCAAGCTGGGTCTTTTCTCTCTCCTGCATCAGCACTAGAGTCTGCAAGAGCCGCTAGCGGGGTGCCAGTCTGTGTGCATAGAGGCAGGTGTCATGGATTGGAATTCAGTGAACGGCTCTGACCCTGCCCTGTATTAGCCTGCCAGGAGCCAACACTTCATAAAAACACTAAGGCTGTGTCTACACTGGCGCGATCTTGCGCAAAAGCAGCCGCTCTTGCGCAAAAACTTGCTGCCTGTTTACACTGGCCGTGTGTTCTTGTGCAAGTACACTGACATTCTAATGTATGAAATCAGGGCTGCTTGTGCCAGAACTCTGATGCTCCCACTCAGGAATAAGCCCTTTTGCACAACTGTTCTTGCGCAAGAGGCCAGTGTAGACAGGCAACATGAATTTCTTGAGCAAGAAAGCCCGATGGTTAAAATGGCCGTCAGAGCTTTCTTGCGCAAGAGAGAGGCTACACTGGCACGGATGCTCTTGTGCAAAAGCACATGCCAGTGTAGACTCTCTCTTCTGGAAGAGTTTTTGCACCAGAACGCTTCCGCAAAAGAATTCTTGTGCACGAAGCTGCCAGTGTAGCTGTAGCCTAGAGGGCTATGGCTACACTGCGCATTCTTGCGCAAGAAGAGATGCAAACGCAGCACAGCGATTTGCATATCTAATGAGCTGCCATTTTTTGCAGCTGGGGCTTTTGCGCCAGAAGGTGCTGGCTACACTGCTCCTTCCTGTGCATAAAACCCCCCTCTTGCACAGGAGCTGTTCCTCTTGAAAATAAGCGAAGAACGGCTCCTGCGCAAGAGGGGGTTTTTGCGCAAGAAAGAGCAGTGTAGAGAACTCCTTCTTGCGCAAAAGCCCCTTCTGCAAAATGGCGGCTTATTAGGTATGCAAATGAGACGTGGCGATATTCATCACTGTGCCTCGTTTGCATATCTTCTTGCACTAGAATGCGCAGTATAGACGTAGCCAAGGTGTTTTTTGGCACAAGAGGGGCTGTGTTGGTCTGGGAGACCAACCCCCTTTTAAAGCACTTTCAGCGTGTAGCTTTATCGTCCTTTCACACCTACAAGCATTTTTTTCCCCGACTGTCCATGACATTAACGTGCAAAGATTTAGGCTGGTTGCCTTAAGCAGCAGCGTGCTGGAAGCGTGTTATTGGCACAAGCATTTTCTACAGAGGGCGGGATGGTTTTGTTTTTAAAGTGGCCAAGTTTTCTACTAGAAATTCCTACTTTTTTTTGGTCTTTCACTTGTGTAGCAATCATGCCGGGAAGAGCCTTTTTGAGATCCCTGTTGGTGCACTGTCAACTTTGAGCTTTGAGGGTGCTGCAGAGAATATCCGACTGTTTGTCTAGACCCGTGTTTCTCAACATTTTTTTTTATAGAGTACCCCTTTTTCAAACAAAAAATTATAAGTACCCCTAGTACCTACAGTTTTTAGACACATTTTTTTTCTACCACGGCAGCACATTTGTTTAAACAACTTAATCGTAGGCGGGCGATGCAATTTTTGGGTGTAAAATGTACAAAAATAATAAAGCACCGTACAACTGAAAACAAACATTCAGTTTTCTCCAAATTTCAGTTGTATTGATGTACCCCCCCAGACTTCTCTCACGTACCCCTAAGGGTACACCTACCACTGGTTGAGAAACACCGACCTAGCACATCTTGCAACTGAAAGCCCTGGCCATCAGTTCCCTGTTAACTGAGGCAAGGGGAAGGCTAAACAGGAAACTCTTTGTCCCTGAATCAGAGTCCAAAGTCCGATTAACCAGGAAGAAAAAAGTGTGTCATGTGAGCGCGGGAGATTTATTTGCCTCTTGCGGTAGGTTGGAATGGAATTCTAGAAGGGCCTCACCCAGCAGCTGACTGATCAGTGTGCCTAGATTGCAAAGCCAGGCAGGATCGCCTGACTCAATCCGTATTTGAGTTAGCACCCCCCCCTACAGGCGAGTGGTGAAACACAAGGCTGGACACTTTGTGGCACCATGCGGGTGAGCGGTGTCCTCGCTGGCTCAGGGCGACGCCCGCACTAGCGCTGATCAAGCAGACCATGTTCCCACACTGGCGGGCTAGAGCAGCTGGGCCCCTAGCTGTGTATGTGGGCAGGTCCTCCAGCCTGCTGCTCCACTTCCATTTGCAGCATGTGCCCGTGTAGCCCTCAATCCTGCTGCTGCTGCCAGGGAAGGCTAAAGGCAAAGAGCAAGAAGCTTTCCCCCCGCAGCGCTGGCTCAATCCAGGGCTGAGGGTCCCTTGGCTGAGGATCTGGCAAGAAAGGAGCATGAGACAAACCCAGGACAAGCTCCTGCAGCTTAATCCCAGCTCCAGCTTTGCCGCCATGGGACTGAGGCCTGGTTAAAATGAAGGGCTGGACCAGGACTGGGTTGGCTGCAGCGGAACACACGAGGCTAGTCCCGTCGGCCTCACCCACGCGCTGGCATTTGGCTCTTACAACCTGCCAGGAGGCGGCCAAAACCCCAAGGGTGGATAATAGATGGTCAGAGAAGAGCATATGCCGGGACCAAGCAGCTGACCCGCCCTGGCCAATCCCGCCCCAGCTCAGTGCAGCCAGCCGGGACCTTTTGGGGGTTGTTTATTTTTTTAAACGCTTGTTTTATACAAAAGAAAGGCATGATCCAGACAGAGCTTCAGTGAGAGCAAGCACCCCAGCGCAGCGCAGCGCAGCGCAGCGCTGCAGGGCCCCGCTGCGCCCGGAGCAACCCTAAGCCGGTTCACCCCACACCATCAGGTCCCCATCGGCATCCAGCACACGCTCGACCAGCTTGCTTTAGCGGTATTTAGGGCTTGCTGCACTCCGCATTGCCACGGAGGCGCCTAAATCTCCATGCTTGCCGATGGGATGGCAGTTCCTAAATCCCTGATGCATTGAAACGCTGAGCGCGGCAGCCCTAAGTCCCTGGCTCGACAGGAAGGCGGGATCGGGGATGAGGCTGCGAGAGCGACCGGTGTCCTGGCTGCTTGGTGCTGGCGTGGCCGAGGGGCGCTAGCACAGTGACATCCCAAGCCCTGCAGGGGGCGCCCAGGGGCAGGGACGGGGTACCACCTGCTCAAGGAAGCAGAGCGATAAAGGAGCAAGCGCCCGGGGAAGACGTGCACGTGTGCAGCTGCCTGGGAGAGAGGGGGCAGGAGCAGCATCCGTCCCCTCACTGCGCTGTCCAGGCAGCCAGTGGCGCTAGCAGGGGCGCAGGCCACACTGCCGTCCAGCGCACCGGCGTTTGCTCACCAGAAACCGGGGCGTGAAGCAGAGCGGGGGCAGGGCCCTGCCCCCCCCAGCATACCGACCGTCCCCGGTGTGAACGAACCCCGCACAGCTTTGGGGCCCAACCCGACACCCCCGTGCCCCAGCGGCTCATGGGGCCGGGACAGGCTTCGAACTGCTCCCTGGCGCTCGCTAAGGCATAAAGCAACAGCCTTCACGTCCCCTGGCAAGCCGGAGGAGGAAGGGGAGACGGGGCAAGCGGCTAAGAAAGCAGCAAAAGAGGAGGCGAGAGATCAGAAATTCAGACAACCCCTTACGCTTGGTTCTCTTGGATCCTCTACACCTAACACGAGCCAGCAGCCCAGCTGGGCTGGACTGCGCTAGCTGAGTCCAATCAGACGACACTGGCTCAGTCCAGCCCGGCCGGTGACCCTTCCAATATAATAAAAAGTAATAAAAATCATAGCCCCCCCATATTATGTGCACAAAATGGACTTTTATGCTGTTTCATGCACCATGTTTCCGTAGCACCATTGATTTCACGAGCACAGGGACAATGTGATTCTACTGGGGCCGCTGGAAAGTCGCTCCGAGGCGGGAGCGTTCCTCCCGGTCGGGTGGGCCTGGCCTGGCCTGGAGACAGCAGAATCGGGGCCTGTGCAGCTGCCGGGGCAGGGGCCGCATTTGGAGAACTTGTCCCGGCACATGTCAGCTGTGGAGAGGAGGCAAAGGACCGGCCATGAGCGAACAGGGCAAAGCTGGGGGAACGGGGCAGGAAGAGCTGCAATGGGACCTCTACAGCTGTCTCCCAGGCGCAGCTCACACAGGGAGGAAGATCTACAGTCATGGGTTCCCAAACTGGGGGGGCCCTGAAGAAATTCCAGGGAGGGGGCGTGAGGCGACCTAGCCACACACACACCCCCCGCCAATCCCACCCCAAGTTTTGCTGCTATTTTTTGGGAAAGGGGTTTCTCAAAAATCAAAAAGGGGTGCATGACGCCAAAAAGTTTGGGAACCACTTGACTGGCAGCGCCTTGCTGGGGGGGAGATTTCCAGGCATTCTTACACTACACAAGGGGTTTTTTCCCCCAAAGGAATAAAAATGAGCACCATTTCCACGTAGCTCAAAAAGCCCCAAACCCAACCCGCTGTGTTGAAGTGTCAGCTTTTTGTTCCCGAAAACCCAGGAAGTTGCTACAGTTGAAAATTCGGTTTTGCCCCGGTTTGTTTGCAGCGGATAGAAGAAATCCGTTCCCGCACACCTGTGGCCGGGAGGCTGGGGGCCTGGGGCAGAGGGGCCAGCCTGTCACGGGAGGGCGGCGAGCTTTGCACAGTTCTCACACCTTTGCACCGACTGACGAGTGAGTCATACCCACTGCACAAGTGTCCTGGAATGCAGGGGAGGCCAACCCCCGCCCCCCTCCTTTTTAGATTCCTGCCATTCAACCAGCCTGCAGCTGCCTTACCCCCTTGCACGGGTTTGTTCACGCTGCGGCTCGGCCCGGGCTCCCGCAGCATGTCTCTTACCTCGGAGGATCTCTTCCTGGGCGCAGACCGTGCGGATGCAGATCTCCTTGTTAATTACATACACCCGCCGCAGGCTGGCCGGGAGGACAAAAAGCAAGACCTGAGACACAATGGCTAGAGGCCTGGATGTGGAGGGCAGGGGAAGGGCGTTTGTCCCCTGCTTGCACTGGTGCCAAAGTGACCGGAATTTTCACTAGTGAACGGGGACGTCTTTGGGTGGGGGAGGGGGATTGAATGACAGCCCACCAATGGGGTTTTCCTTAATCACACGTGCAGTAGTGTTGCTGCTGCCAGAAGCGGGTCAACAGCCAAACGGGGGAGAAATCCTCCAGTCTAACACCCAGCCAGGGCCCGTGGGAAGGTGCTGGAGGACTAGCGGCTCCGTGGGCCACCGTGGGGTTAGCGTGTGCATGGCTGTCCCGGGTGGCTTGCTAGAGGGTTGCCGTATCACCCTCTGCCTCCACACGTGGGAGGTGGGCGTGGACACGAGGGGCG